GGGTACTTAAACTCTAAACACCAAGGGTCCCTGAGATTCTTCAAAAACCAGGCACTAGGGGTCCTCGAGATTGTTTCCAACTACTTCAGAAACAAAACTAAAGGGTTTCTCTGGATTCTTTCAAACTACTTCAAAAACCAGACACAAGGGGTCCGCGAGATTCTTTCAAACTACTTCAAAAAGCAGACACTAGGGGTCCCAGAGATTCTTATGACTCTTTCAAACTAAGTTCAATAATTTTAAGGCGACACTGCGCCGCATTTTGTATAATTAGTTACTAGTAGTTATTATGTATCTTTTTATGTATGTAAAGGCTAAAATTTGCCGTCAATAAATCATTATTATTATTATTGTTATTAAGTACTTCCAAAACAAAAGGAGTCTTTGAAATTCTTTCAAACTACTTCAAAAACCAGACATAACATCTCCGGGGTCCTTTCAAGGTACTATAAACTCAAAACACGAAGGGTCCCTGAGATTCTTTGAAAAACAAGACACAAGGGATCCCAAGACTCTTTCAAACTACTTCAAGAACCAGACACTAAGGGTCCCAGAAATTTTTTCAAAGTGCTTGGAAAACAAGACCCAAGGAATCCCCAAAACTTTTTCAGGTTCCAAATTGTCAACTCCGTTAGATGTTCCCGTTTTTATTTTTCCAACTGCTTCTTCTTTTTGCTCTATTGTTATTGCCTATAATTGTTTCTCTTATCCTCCTTGTTGTTCATTGTTTATTCCCTGTTCTGCTTCCTTTGACTATTTACTTCGTGTTAAGCAAAACATCCCGCCAAAATTGAGACATGTACACAAAAATTTAAAACCCGCGAAAAATTCAAAATTTAGCCTTGAACTGTAACGTTTAAATGCAAAGTGGTTGCAAATGTACCCCAGAATTAAAATACAAATATGGAGGGCAAATTATTTATTCCTCAAGTCTGGAGAGGGCAAATCTGTGAAACTACTACAAAACCCCCTCCAACATGCAAAAATGAAATCAAATCTTACAAATCAAAACAAATATTTGAGGATCACAATTTCAAACAAACAAAGAAGCAAATGAAAAATCGTCATTAAAATAACTGGATGGTGTGGAGGCATATTAAAAAAAAACAAGCTGAGTGATAACAAACTTCGCAGCGACAGCGGCGCGAAGGGCGTCTCTCCATAAGAGTATATTTTTCCTAACGGCAGCCACAACACTCCCATTCTTGAAGCAGCCAACTTGACGGCCTGATTCACTGGGGTTGAAGATCCGGTATTGAGATGAACATCCACGCGATCCCGTGCGTTTATTTTAGTTAGAGTTAAATTGTCCCAAATTTTGACGATAGTAAAATGAGTATTATGATGTAAATTATGCATTAATTCAAGTTAATAATTAAACCAAAATAAGTTTTTAGAGATACACTGTGGACTCAACGAATCCCCACATCACATAAAACAAAGCACATGAAGTAAACACAAAACCAAAATAAGGTGATATCGGAAACGCTCCACTTTAGAGTGTCGACTTGAAAATAAATGTTCAAATTCAGGTTGTAAGAAACCATTAATAAATCTGTCAGAAAATATTAAGGACCTTACGTTTTCGAGTTCACGATGATACTAGGTAACAATCAGGGTATGCCATCGTAATATTTTAAATATGTTGCCAACCTGACAAAAAAGTCATAATCATTAATAATCACCCGGTACTAATTTAACTATACATGATCGTTTTCCGGGTTGGAACCGTGTAAATTGAGTTCTTGGACTCAATCTTTCGAACACTTTCGTGAGTGGCATCTTCAGGAAAAAGAGTTTCGCCTCTGGTATGGTTGACATACTGAGTTACTTTTGCCTTATTCTTAACCCTGCTCCTGAAGATGCCACTTACGAAAGTGTGCGAAACGTTGAGCCCAAAAACTCAATTTACACCGTGGAAGCCTCGGAAATTATTACTAATTTAACTGATGAAAAAGTTGACGTTTACGATTAGACCAAATGCCATAAATGAACTACGTATTTTAGCTCTCCAGTGAAAAGTAATGAAATGTGGATAATAAAAATAATAACTGAAATAATAAAATTTTTCAGAACTTTGAACCTATCGTTAGAAAAATTAAATAAATCAGACCTGAATAAATAATTTGCTAACACGTTATATGAACACTGAATTAATTGGTCTTATCATAATTACAGTCATTGAGGAGGACTGTGGCGTTGATTGCGATTCATTTTTTATTTATCTCATTATCAAATTCTACTCAGGTTTCCTCCTTTGCTTACTTTAACCAATTCTTTCAGTCCAACAAAGTAAGGTTACGACATTTTAATAAAATTCATAAAAAAATTTGACTTAAATTAAATGTCACTGACAACCATGTCAATTTTGACAACGGAAAGTAAGGTGGGCTGACAGGTTACCAATTTCTAGCTTATTACAATTTACAACTAGACAGATCTCTTGTCAAATTCCTTTATAACTTCGACTTCAATTAAAGACAACATCTGTTCTTCTAGTTCATCAAACTGTAACGAGTTGAGTTGAGTTGACCTGACTTAACCTGAACTGACCTGACCTGACCTGACCAGACCAGAGCAGACCTAACCAGATCAGACCTGACCTAACCTAACTTGATTTGACTAGACCTGACCTGACCAACCCACCTAATAATACTCCCGTTATAGTTGCTTTTAGAGCTGAAAATTGTCAAGTTGATTACTACAAAAATTTACCATTTTAAACATGTTTTAAGTTTCTTGTTGTCGGAATAAGTTTACACATATTCAGAAAAAAAAAGACAAAATTCAAGCCCCGCCCTCCCACCCTACCTCAATTGTGATGTTTTTTTTTATTCGCCGTGAGCCAATAGGGTGGAGCTTAATTGCAAAATCGTTATTTCTCTACGAGAAACTAAAAACATGTTTTAGAGTATCGTGGTGTTCAAAGAATACTATGTATATTAAGAAAAATTAAAGTCAAAGATTAAGCCCCGCCCATACCTGCCCTGATCTATGTAGTAATGAAGTTTTCATTAGTTGGCAGACCTAGGGACGCAAAATCTATATTTCCCTACAAAAATCTACCATTTTACGTGTTGTAAGTTTCTAAGAATAAAAAAAAATCATCACAATTGAGATTTTCCTTTTCTTCTTAATATACGTCGAATTTCTTGAACAACACGATACTCAAAAAGATGTTTTTAATTTTTCTACAGAAATAAGTATTTTGCAGTTAAGCTCCGCCCCCTTGGTTCACGGAGAATAAAAAAAAAATCATCACAATTGAGATAGGGTGGGTGGGCGGGCTTACATTTTGCCTTTTTGTTTTAATATGTGTGTAGACTTCTTTTCACACAATGAAACTTAAAACATGTTAAAATGGAAAATTTGTATAAGGAAATATTGATTTTGCAATTAGGCTCTGTCCCAGTTGCAAAATCCACATTTCTTTGCAAAAATGTACCATGTTTCTTGTTGTAAAAAGATAGCTATGTTATATTAAGAAAAAAAGGCAAAATATAAGCCCCGCCCACCCGCCCTATCTCCATTGTAATGATTTTTTTTATTCGTCGCGAGCCAAAGGGGCAGAGCTTAATTGCAAAATCCTTATTTCTCTACGAGAAGAAGAAGGACATGTTTTTGAGTATCGTATTATTCAAAGAATACTATGTATATTAAGAAAAAAAAAAATAAAGCCAAAGATTAAGCCCCACCCATACCTGTCCTGATCTAAATAGTAATGAAGTTTTCATTCGTTGGCAGAGATAGGGGGGGGGCTTCATTGCAAAATCCATATTTCCCCACAAAAATTTACCATTTTAAACATGCTTTAAGTTTCTAAAAATAAAAAAATCATCAAAATTGAGATGGGGTGGGTGGGCGGGGTTTATATTTTAATCATGTTTTAAGTTTCTTGTTGTAAAAAGATGGCTATGTTATATTAAGAAAAAAAGGCAAAATATAAGCCCCGCCCACCCTCCCCATCTGCATTGTAATGATTTTTTTTATTCGTCGCGGGCCAAGGGGGCAGAGCTTAATTGCAAAATCCTTATTTCTCTAAGAGAAATTAAAGACATGTTTTTGAGTATCGTGTTATTCAAAGAATACTATGTATATGAAGAAAAAAAAAATAAAGCCAAAGATTAAGCCCCACCCATACCTGTCCTGATCTAAGTAGTAATGAAGTTTTCATTCGTTGGCAGAGATAGGGGCGGGGCTTCATTGCAAAATCCATATTTCCCCACAAAAATTTACCATTTTAAACATGCTTTAAGTTTCTAAAAATAAAAAAATCATCACAATTGAGATGGGGGTGGGTGGGCGGGGTTTATATTTTCCTTTTTTTCTTAATATACGTCGTATTTTTTTAATAAAACGATACTCAAAAACATGTTTTTAATTTCCTGTAAAGAAATACGTATTTTGCAGTTAAGCTCCGCCCCTTTGGTTCAAGGAGCATAAAAAATCATCACAATTGAGATAGGGTGGGTGGGCGGGCTTACATTTGGCCTTTTTGTTTTAATATGTGTAAACGAAGTTTAGTGAAAATTTTAAATTCAAAAAGTCTGTTTAAAGATTTTTTAATGTGTGTTTATTATATAAATCCTGAAAAGGGTAGAAATTCAGCGACTTAGAAACTCTTTAAAAATTAAATGAACATTTGAATAATGTCTTAAGTTATAACGTAATAAAAGTACTGTGAATAGAGTAGTAATAGCGACATAATCTTTTACAACGATAAAATTTTAAATATAACTGCATATCTTAAAAATGTGAAAAATTTTAAAGGCTGTTAAGATGTGAGTTTAATGATACTAAAACTTACGAAATTTATTTACTGCTACTAAAAATTCCACTCATTGCAGACATTTAATATGAAAATAAAATATTAATTAAGAGAAACTGAATTTCATAATGTTAATTAAAAATTAATTATATATCAATAACAACCAAAATTCCTTCATCATCCATTTTTCAATAGTACCTTTCCAAATTAAATTAACCACTTTTCGCTCTAGGTCGGAAAGCAGTCCAAACAAAGCACAAACCATCTTCAATCCCTTGAAGACATCCCGGAAGACACTTTCCCAGCCACATCCACCAACCAGACCAAACTCTACACCCCATGGTCCCCCTGGACCCGCTGCATGGACTGCGTCCAGCGAAGAGTGAAGACCTGCGTCTCCCCTCAATGCGAGGACTCGCGCATTTACGAGGAAAAGCCGTGCGGAAAGAAGCGGTGCAGAAGGAAAGCGCGACAAAAGAGTCAGTTCAACATTGTGCATTTAGACAAAGTATGTTGAAGATTTTTTTGTAAAAAGTTTGTTAAGCCAGTGCCTTAGGACAGTAGTCATCTGACTCGTCAAGCGCCCTCCAGAATCTGGAGCAAGTGGTCCAGCTGGTCGCCGTGCTCGGAGGACTGCAGGACGCAGAGGATACGGATCTGCAGGAAGCCGGGGAGGTGCAGGAAGAAGCAGCAGGAACAAACTGCTTACTGCTACCACGATAACTCCATGTGCGAGAACTACGTGCTGAACTTGTTGGACAACCAGCACGATTCGTACGGTGAGTTGTATTTGGTTGGTAAATATTTGGGCCGGTAAAGATGGGAGTGTTTGTTTTGGGGAAATATTTGGTTGGGGTTTATTGGTGGTCTTGGTGTGGTTAACGTGGCTAGTGACACAAATATTTACTACTACTATTTTTTATGGAACACCTAGAAAGGGTTGGGCGAAGGCGCCGCCTTTCTTCGAGACGTAAACTTCTAGATTGAGAAAAATAGCCTGGACTTGTTCTAGTTCTTAAATTGCTCGTTTACAAGGTGTTTTATTAATGCAATTATATAATGGTGGGAAAATTTGTTAAATATTTACGAATCTGTGGATTGTAGAAGTCTATTTCACAATTCATTTGTTGTACACGTTTTCGCTTTTTATTCCAATTCGTAGAAATATTTATTTAATTACTTTATAGATATTATATAACGGTTTGGAAGAAATATCAAACATGCTGTAAATATAAAACACTGCCTACCCACTACTAAAAAACAGTAGGTATCAATGTACAAAGCGTGACTCATTTTATTACATAAGTGCAAAAATGGAGAGTGTATGAAAAATGTTTTATTCATATGGGCAATTAAAAATAATTGTTAGTCATTTGCTAATATTATTGTTTATTATTATTATTACTATTATTATTCTTGTAAAAAAAAATACAAAAAGTGCAAATTATACCCAATTTGAACGAAATCCATCAACAAGCCAACATAACAAATTAAATTTAGTCCGGAAAAAAAAATGAGGTCAAAGTTACCTTCAAATAAAAATTTTAGGTAGTAAGTAATAAAATTTGTTTTACTTTTTTTTAATTTGAAAAGTATTTAGTAATGCTATTTGTTTCCTTCAAAGTTTAGCGTTATGGAATCTGTTTATAAATGTAAATCGATTTTGAATGGGTATGCAAAATGCACTAATAACAGCTTAATATTCGGTCCTCAATTTTTTTCCAACTAAATCATTTTTATTGACAATTAAAACGTTTTCGACTAATTATATTTTAATTGAAATTTTATTTTGGCGTTTCACTTTTAACATTTTCATTTTTTAGAACTTGTTTGGTATGTTGACAAGATAGTATTATAAATAATAATTCCTGAAATAAAGTTGAAATCAAAGGGATATTTATTTACTGTTATTTATATAAAAATAACGTTAAATTTACGCCAAAAAACAAAAGTAAGTTGTTAATTATATGTTTTAAGGTTAAAATGACTTAATTTCAATTCACTGCTTACATAAGCATTGTTGGTATTTTTTATAAATCTTACTTAATGTAAGTCTAAGTTACGTTAAGTTCTATTGTATTTAACTGTGGGATGAATACGTCGCAAGTTATTTTATACTTAAAAACACAGAAACTTAGGGCTGTTGCTACAAAAAAAGTTATTGTGAAAATTTGGATGCCTAGGGTTAAAACTCAAGGCGGACTCATAAATCACAAGTACAAGAGTATGTTATTTTAAAACATATAAATGATGTTTATCGAAACTGAATAATTAAAAATCGAAAATCTTGACAACGAGAAATCGAAAAACTGAAAAACCAGAACCGAAATGTCAAAAAATCGAAAGATCGGGAAATCGAACATAAAAAAAATTCAAAAATCTAAAATAGAAAAATTTGAAAAATTGAAAAACAAAAAGAACGAAGGATGGATAAATCGAAAATTTTTAAATTTTCAAAATTGAAAAATTAAAATATCGAAAAATTGAAAAATCGAAAAGTGAAAAATAGAATAATCGAAACATCAAAGAATCGAAAAATTGAAAAATAGAAAACACGAAAATTTCAAAAATTCCAAAACTGAAACATCGACATTTTGAAAAATTGCGAAATCGAAAATTTAAGAAATCGAGAAGTCGAGAAACGGACAAATCAAAAATTTCAAAAACCTAAAAACAAATAAATCGAAGAAACAAAAAAATTTATATAGAAAAATTGAAAAACCGAAAAATCTGAAACCGAAAAATCGAAAAATCGAAAGAATGAGAAATCGAACATCAAAAAAATTAAAAATCTAAAATTAAAAAATTCGAAAAATTGAAAAATAAAAATGTCGAAGAATTGAAAAATTGAAAAATCCAAAATTTTAAAAATTTAAGAAAGTGAAGTAAAAAATAGAAAAATCGAAACATCGAGAAATTGAAAAATCGAAAAAAATTTAAAACTGGAAAACTTGAAAAAGTCGAAAAATCTAAATTTAAAAAATCGAAAAATTGAAAAATCAAAAACCTGAAAAATCGAGAAATTGAACGATTGAAACTTCGAAATTTCTATAAATCGAGAAATCGGAAACAAATCTAAAATCGGGAAGTCGGAAAATCGAAAAATCTAGAAATCGAAACATCAAAAAACTGAAAAATCTAAAAAGACGAAAACTTGAAAAACTCCAAAACTGAAGCAATGAAAAAATTGAAAAACAAAAAAAAATCAAAGTCGAAAAATCTAAAATTTGAAAAACCGAAAAATTGAAAAATCAAAAATCTGCAAAATCGAAAAAACAAATTAAAAGTTTAAAAAATGCAAAAAGTGAAAACCGAAAAATCTTAAACCGGGAAATCGGAAAATCGAAAGATCGAGAAATTAAAACAACAAAAAACTAAAAAATCTAAAAATATCGAAGTATTGAAAAATTGAAAAATCAAAAGTTTAAAAATTTAAGAAACTGAAGTAAAAAATAGAAAAATCGAAACATCCAGAAATCGAAAAATTGAAAAATCGAAAAAAAAAATTTAAACTGGAAAACTTGAAAAAGTCGATAAATCTAAACTTTAAAAAATCGAAAAATTGAAAAATCAAAAACCTGAAAAATCGAGAAATTGAACGATTGAAGCATCGAAACTTCGAAATTTCTATAAATCGAGAAATCGGAAACAAATCTAAAATCGGGAAGTCGGAAAATCGAAAAATCGAGAAATCGAAACATCAAAAAACTGAAAAATCTAAAAAATCGAAAACTTGAAAAATTCCAAAACTTAAGCAATGAAAAACTAGAATCGAGAAATCGAAAAATTTTTAAATCTAAAATTTTAGAAACTGAAAAATTAAAACATGGAAAAATTGAAGATTAGAAAAGTGAAAGATAGAAAGATCGAAGAACATTTAAAAATTCCACATCTTGAAAAATTCCAAAACTGTAACATCGAAATTTTAAAAATCGCGAAATCGAAAAGTCGAAAAAACAAAGTCGAAAAATCTAAAATTTAAAAATTAAAAAGCTGAAAATCGAGAAACTGAAAAATTGAGAAATGTGATAATCGAAAAATCGAAACCCCGAAATCTTGATAAATCGAGATACATGAAATTTGAAAAATCGGAAAATTGAAAATTTTAAAATCCAAAAATTGAAAAAACGAAAAATTTAAAACTGTAAAGTCGGATAATTGAAAAATCCAGAAAAAAACTGAAATATCTAAAAACTCGAAGACTTGAAAAATTCTAAAACTGAAACAACGAAAAATTGAAAAGTCGAGAGATCGAAACATTGAAAAGTCAAAAAATCGAGAAATGTAAAATTAAAAAAAACGAAAATTCGAAATGTCAAAAAATCGAGAAATTGAAAAGTCGGGAAATCGAAACATCAAAAAACTGAAAAACCTAAAATTAAAAAATTCCAAAAGTTGAAAATAAAAATATCGAAGAATTGAAAAATTTAAAAATCTAAAATTTTAAAAATTGAAAAATTAAAATATCGAAACACTGAAGAATCGAAAAGTGAAAAATAGAAAAATCGAAACATTAAAAATTCCAAAACTGATCGAAGATCGAAATTCTGAAAAATCACGAAATCAAAAAGTCTAAAATTTGAATCACCGAAAAATTGAAAAATCAAAAATCTGAAAAATCGAAAAATCCACAAATTAAAAATTTTAAAAAATCGAAAAATTTATAACAATCCAAAAATTGAAAAACCGAAAAATCTTAAACCGGGAAGTCGGAAAATCGAAAGATGGAGAAATCGTAAAGCTCAAAGAACTGAAAAATCTAAAAACTCGAAAACTTGAAAAATTCCAAAACTGAAACAACGAAAAATTGAAGAGAACTGGTTGATCGAAAAGTCCACAAATCGAAGTTGAAATATTGAAAATTTAAAAAACCGGAAAGTTAAGAAATCGAGAAATCCAAACATTGAAAAGCCGAGAAATCGAGAAACGGGAAAATCGAAAAATCGAAAATTCGAAATGTCGAAAAATAGAGAAATCGAAAAGTCGAAAAATTGAAAAATCCAGAAATCGAAACATCAAAAAACTGAAAAGTCTGAAATTGAAAAATCGAAAAATCTAACATTTTAAAAATTGAAAAATTAAAATATCTAAAATTGAAAAATCGAAAAATGATAAATAGAAAAATCGATACATGAAAAAGTTGGAAAATCGAAGAAAAATTAAAGACTCGAAAACTTAAAAATTCCAAAACTCTAACATCAAAAGTAAAATAAATCCCCACATCGAACAGTCGAAAAAAAAAGTCGAAAAACCGAAGTCAAAAAATCTAAAATTTAAAAAATCGAAGAACTGAAAAATTGAGAAATACAATCGAAACCTCGAAATCCTGCTAAATCAAGTAATATGAAAATTGAAAAATCGGAAAATCGAAAATTTAAAAAATCCAACAATTGAAAAACCGAAAAATCTAAAACCGTGATGTAGGAAAACCAAAAGATGGGGAAATCGAAGCATCAAAAAACTGAAAAATCTAAAAATTCGAAAACTTGAAAAATTCCAAAACAGAAACAACTAAACATTGAAAAATCGGGAAATCGGAAGGCCCAAAAAACCAACTCAAAAAATGAAAAATTGAACGAGTGAAACATCGAAACCTCGAAATCTCGATAAATCGAGAAATCGGAAACAAATCTAAAATCGGGAAATCGGAAAATCTAAAAATCGAGAAATCGAAACATCAAAAAACTGAAAAATTACAAAACTGAAGCAATGAAAAACTAGAAAATCGAGAAATCGAAAAATTTTAAAATCACAAAACTAATAATCTAATTATTATTATCGAAAAATTGAAAAATCTAAAAATTTTAGAAACTGAAAAATTAAAGTATGGAAAAATTGAAGATTCGAAAAGTGAAAAATAGAAAAATCGAAGAAAAGTTAAAAATCCCAAATCTTGAAAAATTCCAAAACTGTAACATTAAAATTAAAAAAAAAATCGCCACATCGAAAAGTCGAAAAAACAAAGCCGAAAAATTTTAAAAATCGAAAAATTGAAAAAATAAGAAATGGAATCGATACCTCGAAATCCTGATAAATCGAAAAATATGAAAATTAAAAAATCGGAAAATTGAAAATTTCAAAAATCCAAAAAATGAAAAATCGAAAAATCTAAAACCTGGAAGTAGGAAAAACGAAAGATCTGGAAATCAAACCATCAAAACACTGAAAAATGTAAAAACTCGAAAACTTGAACAATTCCAAAACTGAAACAACGAAAAACTGAAAAATCGGGAAATCGAAAAGTCCAAAAATCCAAGTCGAAAAATCGAACATTTAAGAAATCGAGAAGTCGAGGAATCCAAACATTGAAAAGTCGAGCAATCGAGAAATGAGAAAATAAAAAATCGAAATGTTGAAAAATCGTGAAATCGAGAAGTCGAAAAATGGAAAATTCGAAAACTTGAAAAATTCGAAAACAGAAACAACTAAACATTGAAAAATCGGGAAATCGGAAAGTAGAAAAATTCAGAAGCGTCAAAAATTGAATATTTGAAAAATTTAAGAATCAAAAAATTGTAAAATTGAAACTGAAAAAATTTTGTTTAACAATTTAATATGCATCCTATAACTTTAAAACGTTTGCGAAACATTCGATTTTGCAATTTCAAAGTTAAATTGTAAAATTCTGTTATAAAATTTTGATTTTTTTCCACAGATCTGAATGCAAGGTAAAAATTCAACGCGGATTCATAAACCACAAACGTTATTTTATAAAATTGAAATAACATTTACTCTTAAAAAATTTGGAGATGCTGTCATTACGTCGTTGGTGAGGATGCGCAGACAAATTTTTTCGAAGATTATCTGTCTAATAAAATTTCTTTATTGTAGTAACAACCTTAACTTCTTTAGAAAGGAAATAAAATACAAAAAAAAACTCAAATTAATAATAATAAGTAGTACAGTTAGAAACGGCAGTTTTGCACCATAATACGTTATAACATTAAAAACAGCAGATATTTGATAAAAACCGACGTTTTCCAACACGAGTTCAATTTTACACTTGTAATTATCACTTTAATAATTCCCAGTCAACATTACGGTATCACTAATTTTTTTGCAAATATCATAGATGCATCCTGTTTAAAAAGAATAAAAACCTAGGTATATCTAACTAATTTACGGTTGAAAATTAGTAACGACGATTTTATGTTGATTGAAACGATCTTTCGTAAATTAAAAATGTAAATGTAAAAAACGCAAATAAGTAATTTTTTTAAATAATAAAAATCTCCTTCCTACCATCCACAACCAGCAAAATAAAATTTATGCGGAGTCATTTCGATGCCAAGATATAATTTTACTCATCTTCTCACCTTATAAATAATGTTCTTATACCAAGAAACACCTAAGGAATTTCGTTGAATTTTAATTGAGTTATTTGGCGGTTTTTGGAAATCGACATTTACAAAAAAATTGGTTAATTTCATGTAATCGTAAATTAAACTGTCAAAATTAAATTTTGTTAAAAAAACTTCAAATGTTTATTATTTTGATTACTTATTTTAAGCGAAAATGAATACATTAAAGCAGTTGTCCAGATTTATAATTTCTGTTTACGTTTTTTGTAGAAGCTGTAATTTTACAGAATTTTTAAAATACTTTTCCAAAAATCTCTGTAATCATCAGTAAAATAAACTTCTGTCTTTCCCCCGAAGAAATAAACAGATACCACTACAACAGCGAGGACCTCTCCCGCCGCGTCCCCCGGCGAAAACTCCACCGCTGCGGCCAGCCCTTCCGGAAGAGCCGGATGTTGAAAATAATCGGCGGCGTCCAATCCAAGAAGTACAAGTGGCCTTGGCACGTCGCCATTCTAAACAAATACTACGTACGTATCCGAAAATGGGTCAATTTTATTCCAAACTGATAATCTCATCATTTCCTCCATAAATCAATTGCGTCTCCGAGTCCACTTTAATTACTTGATTGGATAATAACTTGTTTAATTTTAGGAAGTGTTCTGCGGGGGCACGCTCATCGGCCCACGATGGGTCCTCACGGCTAGTCATTGCATTCGTCCATATTTACGCGTAAGACTGAACGAACATGACTTGAGAGCTCGAGATGGACGCGAGCTCGAGATGACTGTCTACAAGATTTTCCAGCACCCGAAATTCAACCACAAGACCGTCGATAACGACATTGCTCTCTTGCAGTTACCCAGAGCTGTGAATATTCCGATAGCTTGCTTGCCCGACAGGGGTCCCAGACCCACGGAGATATGTACCGTCATGGGCTGGGGGAAGCTTAGGGCCAGCGATACTTATGGTACCCATATTCTGCACGAAGCCAAGGTAGGTCAAAGGCGGCTAAACGGACAAGTGGTGAAGCAGAATTGCTGTTTTACTATCTATAAAAGTTCGTAGACCTTGGATATAATGCTCAATAAATCGTATAGCATAAAAAATTTTACACTGGTTTTATAGAGGAAAATACTGGCGTTTATCAGTAAGCACTTTTTCAAATGTTGGGTATGGCTGTTCGACAGATTTTTTTATTTAATCTTTACGAGAGAACAGTTAGATAAATTACAAAATAGTTTGAATATTAAAGTTTACAGTTAAAACAAGGATTTGAAAATTTATAATTCTCTATTTGTGACCATTTTGACACCTATTACAAGTACATAAAGACTATGATGTGATATAATACAATTTTTATCGTGAGTATTCTTATTCACCAAAAGAACTTTTTAATTAAAATTATTTACTGCGTACAGCGTCAGAATTCAATTAATTTTTCCGCTTAATTTATTAGTTTAGTGTCAGTTTAATAGCACTAAAATTAAAGTGACATTTAAATTAACCTAAAAATTAATTTTCTCAAATTTTATTTATAATCGATTTAATGTGACTAATTATTACAGCCGGGTAATTAATTCTTGGGAATGGCGCATTTTTTCATAGTCACAATTTACAAATTTATTACACTGTTTGGTGTTAAGAATTTAACTGGGTGTCAACAGGAATGTTTTCTATTAAATTACCTAAATGCCAGACGAACTCTGTCTATTTTTTTGTTTCGATATATATATAGACAAGGTTACAGAATTAAAAAAAATATATAATCGTTTAGAAACATTTAGTGGTCACTCTTTCCGTAAAAATAGGTAAATGTGGACTTCATGCACTAGTGGCTACGGATTTAAACATGGCTTAAGTCAGCTACAGACACAACAAATTACAAACTCACCACATTATCAGTTTTTTGTATCACTGTGAAATGTGTCTGACATGCAGGTGTAAATATAGTTCGCTTCGTTGGCACTTTTGGAAGTAAAACAGGAGGGAAAAGAATCTAAAAGACAGTTTTTTTGCCATAGCAGCTACAATAAGTAATAGAATTAGAGTTGGCTATTTCGAATTGTATGGGTGGCACTATTGCACAATTGACACCAAAGTTTGACAGGCAACGCCAACTCTAACAAAACATTGTTAATAGACACATTGAAATGACAGTTAATTTATACATGTCAACAAATTAGTGTTACAAATGTTTACATCGGATTAGACGCCGGTCTGAATTAAGTGAGATTTTTGAATTTTATTATAATGTAGATTGTTTGATAATTAGTAATTACAGATTCAACGACCTTGTAATTTAATTGAACACATCTTCACCTGAAAAAACGTGTAATAACAAAATTCCAGTCATTAATTTCCGAGTATTAACAACAATAAATTTGAATTTATTACAGCGCAAAAACATTACAGGCATGTGCGAATTGACATCTTGAAGTGACACTGGACAATTAAAACCAAAAAAAAAAACAATTACCAAACATATTAAATTAAAAAACTGTATGAATGTTTTGTTTATGGTTGCTTGTAGATCAGTTAGTAAACATCGGAAAGGACAATAGCCAAAATCAATCCAGACGAACCTATTTTAGTCCATTATAAAGACTAAACAATGTTAAAAGTAGCCAAAGATAAAACTGCCTCCACAAACCCATAGGGGAAGGTGGGACTAAGTAAAATATTAGGTTTAAAAACAATATTTTATACCTACTTTTCAATTATATAGTTTGACGTGAATTTGAAAATTCTGCTTGATTTATGTTGGCGATTGTAATAAATTAACAAATAGTGTCTTGGTAATTTTTTGTTTTACCACCTTCATGGTAATTAAATTGTGGTCCGTAAAGCTAATTGTTATGAAAATATGAATACCAGGTAAAAAATATACAACAAAAAAGTCAAATTGAGCGTGTGCTTCTTTCTTAATAATAATAATAATATATTGTGATGACGTCATTAACTTTTTGGAGGAGATAAACAGATAAATTGTGATTAATGATTTAAATGCTTATCATAACCTTAAAATGTTGCAAGATTTCAAGGCATTTGGTTTTGTAGTTTCTAAGTTAAATTACAAAAATTGTTTTACAGTTTTGATTTTTGAATTTGAATGTCTTAGGTATAACGTAAGAGCAGATTAATACATTACAAGTAGAGAAGTAAGATATTTTTTTAAATTGAAATGACGTCATTAAATTGTTGGTGGGAATGACGAAACAAATTTTTGGTGAGCGTTTTACCATCGGGAGGATATTCCTCAAACACTTAAAATTTCATAAAAATCAGTCCAACACTTTTGAAATAAGTCTACACATATTAAGAAAAAAAGGCAAAATGTTGCCCCGCCCACCCGCCCTATCTCAATTGTGATGATTTTTTTATTTATCGTGGGTCAAGAAGGCGTTAGCTTAACTGCAAAATTCTTATTTCTCTACGAAAAATTAAAAACATGTTTTTGAGTATCGCGTTGTTCAAAGAATATTATATATATCAAGAAAAAAAAAAGTCGAAAATGAAGCCCCACCAATATCCATCTTAAGTTCAATTTGTGACGAATTTTTCATCCGTTGTCAAACCGAGGGGCGGAGCCTAATTGCAAAATCGATACTTTCCCACAAAAAAACAACCAATGTTACCATGTCAGTTTACAGTTGTCAATTTGACATTCCGACGTCTAAAAAACCAATTAGAAAATGGCAGCCCAAAATTTAAATTTTACATCAGGTACATTATTATAAAAATGTAAATACCTTATGTTGCCACCCTGACAAAAATCACAAACGTTATTGATTTATTAATAATTCGGTAGTTTGTTGGGGTTTTACAAAAATAGGTATAAAGAAATTAAGATTTTCTCTCGTTTTTATTAGACTTAAGATTTAATTGAAGAAACGAAAAATGAAAAAATCTAAAAATTGAAAATTTAAAAACATGAAAAAAAAAGAAAAATTATAAAATATGAATGTGAAAGTCTGCACATAACATATTGAAATGGCAAAATAAATTATTAAACAATAATTAAATAGTACTTGCTAAGATTAAACTGATTTTGGCATATCACATACCTTCCAAGAAAACAGAGGGCGGGTGGGCGGGATTAGTGCTTGGTAAGAAAATAGAGGACGAGATCCTAAAATTGAAAAAGTGAAAAATTTTTTAAGTAATAATTATTAGTTGCTCATTTGAAATGAAAACTAGAAAAATTGTAATTCAAAAGTTGAAAATTTTAAAAATTCAAAAAAAAGAAAAATTATAAAACATGAAGATGGCAAAAAGAAAGAAAATAAACAACAGAAACAAAAATTTTCAAAAATACTTGAAAATTGGTTAAATATGTCAAGTGCCAAAATCAATCTCGGCTTATCGAATATTAGCCCGACCCACCCGCCCTTTATTTTCTTATAGAATGTCTTTTCTTAGCTACTACTGGATAAGATAAGACTGATTTTGGCAAATGACATACCCTCTAAGAAAAGAGAGGGCGGGTGGGCGGGGCTAGTGCTTGATAAGATAAGACTGATCTTGGCAAATGACATATCCTCTAAGAAAATAGAGGACCAGATCCTAAAATTGAAAAAGTGAAAAAAATTTTAAGTAATGATTACACAGGCCTGCGATGGTTTTCCCCCAACAAAATCAAGTAGTAATTTCGGTAGGTCTCATATACTCATGTATAAAAAAAAATTGCAAAAATTTCTATCACGTACAGTTTCTGCAAAAAATTTTTTTTCAGTTTTGTTCTTAGTACTATAAAAATTAACTTCTAGATTTTGTGGTAATAATATGTATGGATAATGGTGTTGATATTTCATTTCGTGTTCAGCTTAGTAAGAGTTATTTGTGTCGACTATGCGCTTACTACCCTGAATTTAAACAAAAATTACTAATGTCTTCTCGGAAATGGGTTAATTCTTCAGATAAGTTTGCTGACACCAATGATTTGGATGGAGCCACAAAATCATACAGACGATTGTTACTTTTGTTGTTCAAATATAAAATGATATAATGCGAAAAATGTAACAGCAATAACATATCCTATCGTGAATACAAGAGAAAACGCTTAAATCAGAGCTTTGAAGAAAGAAAAAAAGAAGCTTCTTGATTTATTTGTTTTTTTAAGTCTTGTTTATAACTAATTTAGTTCATTTAATAAATAAACATTCAATTTTATATTCTTTATATTTTATTTTTTCATAAAAATTGTTTGGAAAACTATGAATATTTAGGCCTACATAAAAATAAATCTCGATGTGCTACAAAAAAACTAGAGTTATATTTTAATTCGGCATACATAAATACCTAAAAAAAAAACAATATTATTTAAAAAGGAAATTAAAAGTTATATTTCGCAGGCCTGTGTTATTAGTTGCTCATTTGAAATGAAAAAATTTAACAGTTGAAAATTTAAAAAATTGAAAAAAGAACGAAAAATTATAAAATATGAAGATGGCAAAAAGAAAGAAAATAAAAAAACAGAAACAAAAATTTTCAAAAATAGTTGAAAAATGATTGAATATGTCAAAGTGCCAAAATCAGTCTTATTTTATCAAATAATAGCCCTACCCCACTTACCCTTTATTTTCTTAGAAGGTATGTCATTTGCCAAAATGTGTCTTATCTTAGCTACTACTGGGTAAGATAAGATTGATTTTGGCAAATGAAATACCCTCTAAGAAAAGAGAGGGAGGGTGGGCGGGGCTAGTGCTTGGTAAGATAAGACTGATTTTGGCAAATGACATATCTTCTAAGAAAATAGAGAACGAGATCCTAAAATTGAAGACGAGATTCTAAAATTGAAAAAGTGAAAAAAATTTTAAGTAATAATTATTAGTTGCTCATTTGAAATGAAAACTATAAACATTGTAATTCAAAAGTTGAAGAAACAAAAAATGAAAAAATCTAACAGTTGAAAATTTAAAAAATTGAAAAAAGAACGAAAAATTATAAAATATCAAGATGGCAAAAAGAAAGAAAATAAAAAAACAGAAACAAAA